TTAAATTTGCATATTAAAATTTTTTAATATTGATTAGTATTAATTTACTTTGAATAGAACCATAAATATAAAATCTTAATATAAACAATGGTAACTATATACTGGTAAGTGGTAAGTATTAAGTAATAATTTCAAATGTGTTCATTGGTAAATATATTATATATTATATAAGTTGATTGTATGTAAAGTGGTTAGGTTTATCTTGTTCTGCATATAATTATACTCAACAGTATACAAAATGAGTTTCTTTTCATGAGTATGTCCGAAATAACCATCAATAATTTTTAATTTAATTTAACATAAACTATCTAACTACATACTATTTGCTTAAAGTTTCCGAAAAGATGTTGAGTTTAAAAAAAAATGGATCCATGTTATGCGAAGAGATAATTTTACACCAAGTAGCAAGAAAACAATCTAACTTTTTCTGAGCATTTTACCTGCTCTTTGGAGCTCTCATAAAAAAATTAAAAATCATGTAATACCTACTCCAATATTTGATTTTCCTAATCATTAAAAAAAAAAAATACAAATCCAAGAAAACCCTCAACAAACAGACAACACAATATAATATCAAATAACACCAATAATTCATAACCGTAAGTGCCTGTATATTTTTTAAAATAAAATAAAACCTTTTTAGTTACATTAAAAATAGATTTTTTGAAAACTAAACAAACATTCTCAAGCAAACCGTACAGAAACTTGCACAAGCAGTAAGAGATATAATTAGTGACATTACTGAGGATGATATGACATAACAGCTGAGAATAGTAAATTTTTTTTTAAATTAAGATTAAAGAAACTTGGGTGGAGATTTGCTTGCGCACATATTAACATATATTTTAAATTTATGACAAATTGATTGAGCACAAAATAGTGAACAATGATAACCAACTGGTAGGTATAGTGTTGAGTGTACAGAGTGTCTTAAGCTGCCCGTACACAATCAATATTACTTTTATAAATTGAATACCGTCAATTGATAAAGATTGGTTGAGGAGTTGGACAAAAAATAAAGTGTTATCAAAAGATAACTCGAAAAATTATTCTAAAATTGGAAGGTGGCTAATAAACACTTTTTCGGATTACCTTATTTAAACTATAATGAAGTTTTTGACGCATTTACTGAAATAATGTCAACAGCTCCTTGTAGAATTATGGGTTAGTGAACCAGCTAATAGCCCAAGAAAAGTGAATGAAACTGAAAACGTTCACATCCACTTCAATAGTAAATTTTATACCTCTCACCCTCACATTCACCAAATTATTCAAATACTAATGGAAATTCAAGTCAATACTGATTAAAAAATAAAGAAAGAAAATACCCGTGCATAGATCAGATATATTAAAAAAACAAAATAATATGAAAAAAATATGAAAAAAATATTAAAGTTATATATTCTGAATACAAATCCAAAAACATTGATCTTTTAACATTTTTACCGCAAACGCGTACCAATAAATATTAAATATGTATTAACAAATAAATAAATGTTTTGATATGAAAAATGATCGTAATTGTAATTTGTAAATTTTAATGACTTTTTTATAAATGATTTTACTTTGTCTAATTGTGATTTGTGTAATTTGTAATTCGACAAAATTGTGAATAATGGCTTTCTAAGGAAGCTGTTCTAAAATAAATAGTTCAAACTATATTTTTAAACCCGTTAGTCATAGGTATACTTAAATAGGAAGTCATAATGTCATATAACATCAGAATATGATTGAATAGATAGCCCTAAGCCTTATAAGGTATGTGAAAATGTTGTTTAAGTATAACCTTTGTGAGACAGATGATATCACGAGACAATCGCGGCTGCTCGGAAGATCATTTTATCACTACTGTTATACGCTTGTATCGTAAAATGTTAAAATGTTTAAAATGTTGTGAACATCAAAATTTGGCGCACGAATTTAATTTCAAAGTTATAGCTAATCAAAGTTTTCAGTTTATATTATTATAAGCAATAAATACTCATAAATATAATACCCATTAATATGCTATATGAAATATATAGCTGAATAGGTTAGTTTTAGACTTTAGCACAGCGTCTTCGCTTGGTCATGATGTGCAATGACACTGTTCTACATCAACAATAAAATGTTAATACATTTTAAAGTTACTTAAAAATTTAAAATGAAACTTTCATTTTAGATAACTTAATTGTATATTTAAATAAGCATGTTTATTATTAATATTAAATAATTTTTTTACATTAGTCGATCCTAAAAGAAAAAATATATCCTCATTAAATTTTAATCAAAACAAGTTTGACTACCCCTACTAAATATTTCATCGGCTGACCTGTTGCAAAAAAAGTGACGTCTACACTGCGCTCGGAAAAAAAAAATCGAAAATATCCCTGGTAAAACCACCTGGGTAGGCCTAGGAATTAAACAATGTTGTTAAAAAGCAATTATCTTCAGGTAGATGTCAGGCTAACAGTTATCTACATAAAAAAAATTAAAATTTGTAATCGGCGCTCAAAAACTTTGGTAGGCTATAACTTCTAAAATAATAGTTTCCGTTAAGAAATATAAACCATCGTTTTAAGCATAAAAAAAGTCGTTTGAAAAAAAAAAATATTGAAAATCGTGTTTGGGTTGGTAAAGTGCATTTTAGCCCGATATACATAATATTATATTGTATTGTGGAAAATAAACTTTCACACTTTTAACTGTATACTTCAATAGATTTCACATGTTACGTACGACGTACATATTATCTATGTACAGCGTAGATCACGTTTCTAGTAGTATTTGACGATATAACTAATAAGGCAATTAGTATATTAGCTAGTCATTGCAAAAGCGTAGTATTAAACAAAAGTTCTAAAAGTGTTATCACACATCTCTCCTCGGGAAAGTCAACACTCATACGGAAGGATACGAATCGACCACGGACCAGAAAATACCAAGTATACGAGACACGAACTCTGCTTCATGACTGAATTTAGCCACTACTACGACCAAACGAACAGTCTTAGATATCATATTAGAGTCGTAACACCACTCACTTCTCCACCATAGTTTATACTATTGTAATTTTGTACTTTGTTAAAATAAAAACACAACATAACCTGGTACATCAAGTATTGAATTCTAGCTACGTTTATGTATACATCGACTTCAGTTGGAACGTGACACACATTTTAATTCATATTGAATACCCACTTGTAATATACTGTACGTCTGTACAGCAGAGCGATATCCACTTACCCACCTTTTTTTAATTGATTTTATAATTCACAATAATTAATGTAAATACAAACCACAGATAATGTATTATCTATGTTACAAACGTATAATGGTAGTGATAACACGATCTTCCGAGCTGTGGCAATTGCCTCGTAAGATATCTATCTCTAGGAACCTAATGTTATAACCATATATATATATATATATATATATATATATATATATATCTTGTATATATCTAAGGTTATAACTTATAAGCATAGCCGTGGCATATCCATTACATATACAATGTATAGTGTATAATGTGTATAATGCATATAATACATCGTACTCGTCAAAAAATGTTATTTGCCTCAGTAATTTTTCTTCACAGAACATCTTAAGAGTGAGTCCAACTTTGAGTGCTTGTTATTATATTTTGCCATCGTGCAAATACATTACCTGCTCGTCACCGCCGCTCGTCCTTATTCGAAGTCGTCAAATATAATGTCAATCTGAGAATTACGAGAGCGTATGTTATTACTCACCGTCTTGTTTACCTACGTTATCATTAAGCAAATTTTTGTTCATAAATTGTTGCCATGGTTTTCAAAACTATTAAAATAATAATAATTATTGGTTGCCGTGAAATCAGTATATTCAAATAATTATACTCACATATAAGTTTCGCGAATAAAACAATCACGATGCCACGTATTCGTGGACGAGGAGGAAATATTTTTCGACAGACTCGGCATTCACAATTAGTCCAACCGTCTAGGAGTTCAGTAACATACTTGGTATAACTTTGATACTTCAGAGTTAAATTATAAAGTTACGTACAAACAGCTCGAGGTAATATACTGCTGCGAATCAGAGTTTTTATTCCAGGCCACAGAAAAGTTAAGATACATTTTTAACATTATACACTGAATATTAAATAACGAATTGAACAAAGTTTGAATCATATAGAGTTGTTACATTTAACAGGAAACGAAGTGCACGGGATCAGCCAGTAGTTAATATACTCAATTATAATTTATAGTTTAATTTTTGATGCCTGATAGTATGGTTAGTATTATGTGTAATTTTGAGTTAGCGAGGAGGCATCGGCAATTATGTTTGTGAGAGTTACAATAAAAAAAAATTTACAAAATAGATACGCCATCAATTAGTCGTATTATATTTAAATTATTGTTTTATATTACGTACTTTATATTATGTAATCAGTTAATTTAGTACATACTATATCAATATTTATCAGCAGTTATAACTTATAAACTAATGATTATGATGAAATAATAATAGCCTATTCTATTATTCTGTAATTTTATAATAATAGTGTGCATTCAGCATTCTATACACATACCTACATTCGTTATTGTCTGGTATTATTTATATTTTATTTTTATTTCCATATTATTCAAAATTAGTAATTACAATACTCAGCATTCTACTGTTTGGGTTTTACAAACTACAATCTTTATTAAAAAAATTTAAGCAATACCTGCCATTAAAATTATAACCTATTCTGTAATAATAGTATATGACTAAATAAATAAAAAAAAATTAAAATTGAAAACTGAACCTGACGGAAAACGACAATATGACTATATGAATATGTTTGTATACTACAATTTAAGATGGACTAATAGACCATCCATATTATCATCACATATTCACACACAAAATATAGGTGTCTACTATACATTAATTTTTCAGTTCTCAAAGATACTACGGCGGACGTGCATAGAAGCCTGTGTCAAACGCAGCTATCCACAAACTGACATACACCAGTACTACCCCTCAGACCACCAATGAGCACAACACCAGCGGCCCACACAACACCTGCACAACCGGTAAAGCAAGTCTACGCGAAACAGAATACACCATCCAGCACCGGCCAAACAAGAACAACAAACACCTCGACGAAACAACTGCAACCAGCACCCACAAAGTCGGGGCTGACTAGACCACGACAGAAGGACAAGGCGTGGCTGAGGAGTACATGGCGACGAAAAGACCCAACAACAACGGCTCAACAACAAATTGGACGCTCATAGCACGCCACCCCCTACTCCCCTACCACCAGCATCCTGGGACAACATGGTCGTAGACGGACAGCCACCAGTTGGTTCTGCCACCGCTGGACAAGCAACCGACACGCCCACCCCAAACACTGCTGAAACCACTCCGTAAGAGTTGGAGATTTCACCGGAGGAGGAGAACGAGGTATTAAGGGACTCACTTGTAGAAAAATCAATATTATCATTAATTAATGGTTCCAAAAGTTATAATATTATACGTACCTATTGACAAATGCCGGTGACGGAGGGACACATTTTAAAAATTGATTTCGTAATTTTTGTGGAATCATGCACAGTGTCAGAGTTATAAATCGTCGGATCGTTCTGCGTACATTTAATTTATCGGTTTGGAGCTGACTAGTGAATGCTTTTAAAATTAAAATTATTGTATAATTTATTTAAATGTATTCTCAGAAAATGTGTTGCACAATGCTCGACCCTGCCTCCAATATGATCAAAAGATAAGAAGTTTAATACGAAAATGTACGAAAGAAAAGATATGATTTGAATTTGATTCTGATGACCTACTCAATATATTAAATGAGGTCTTCCAAGATTTATCAAATGTGGAAAATGAACAGGATTGATAGATAATTATGTAATTAACTCGGTAATTAGTTCAGAGTTGATTAAACACATGTTTTTTTTTTAAAAATATCAAAAAAACTGTTTTATTTTTTATACCATGTTTTTTTTAAAATTATTTTTTCAACTGTTTTATGAGATTACGGTGAAACTTTTTCGGCGAATGGATACATCGGCTAACGAATATATCGGCGAAATTACATAAAACACAAAATATATTTAAACATACGTAGAACAGAGTTTATTTCTAATTTAATACGTCAATAAATTCCTAACCAACAACTATTCTCCATCACTTTTCCTATTTGCTTATTGTACATATTTTGCTACACAATTTTGTAAATTTTCTATTTTAGTAAAAAAAAAAAAATAAACAAGCTATCGGTGGGGATTTCGTGGTCACGGGTTTAATCTTTAATTGTATTTTCGATTATAATGTTGTTATTTGTCTGATAAAGTCATAACGATAACTATCGTCTATCAGTTAAACTGTAATAACCGATTGAAATGTGTTCTTAAAGTTACAATGTGTTGGTGATCAAGTTGAAATCAAACGGGGTCCACGTTCCATATTTAAATAATATGTTATTTTGTTATTTTGTTAGTGTGTTATTTTTTATGAACTATGAGTACATTAACGATTAGGTCGAAACCAAAATTGGTGGACGAAAGTAATTTTTGCTACATTACAGATAAGTCACATAATGGATAAGTAAGTTAAAATTATATTATGTTATTGATAAATATAAAGTATACAATTTGTATAATATGAATACTCGTTTAAAATACTACGGTTTTTTTTTGTAAATTAAATATAGGTATACTGGAGATGTGAACGAAAAGATGAGTGTCCTGCACGGGTTCACACAAACATAGGTTCTCGCGAGATAATTTTTCGTTCAAAAAAAACCCACAGTCATGCTCCAAATGTAGCAAAAGTTATTGCACTGGAGGCTACAACGGAAATGGTCAAAAATACAACTCTTGGAGTAAATTCCGCTAAACAAATTGTTGGTGAAGCTACACAAAATTTAAATGATGCTGTATTAGCTCAACTACCGAAATCAAACACATTAAAACGAAAGTTAAGGTGAGTCATTGAAATTTAAATCAAAATTTAAAATCAAAAGATCATAAAAAATTTGTTTGATCATTATTTTTGTAGATCTACGCTAAGCATTTTTTTTTAAATTTCCATTTACCACAACTTACATAATATTTAATGTTATTAGGCGAGTAAAAGAACGTGCTACATGGCAACCACCTTGTCCAATCAGTATAATAGATTTAATAATACCGAACCAGTATAAATGTCTATCTGATGGATCTCAATATTTCTACTCCATGATTCTGGTGTACATGATGACGAACGATTTATAATTGTAAGGTTGATGATTGGACTTCGTGCACTATCTATGTCAACGCGATGGCATGCAGATGACACTTTTAAAACAACGTCACTTATTTTTAAGCAATTGTACAGCATACATGTAGAAATAGGGAACAATTCTCTAGTGGCGGATTAATAATGTGGACTTATACATTTTTAAAAAGTAATTATTATAAGTATATTATATGGTCCTAGAACGTCTCTTTCATTTAAGTATTATTTTTATTATTTATTAATTATTATTATATACTTATATATGGTCCTAGAACATCTATTTTATTTAAGTTATTATTGACTAAATTATTGAATTATATAATATGGAATTTAAATTTTTAAATTTCAGGTTAGGTTTTGTGGTTTCGCCAATATATCCATTCCCCGTATTCGTTCGCCGATACGTCCATTCGCAGATATAACCGTTCGCCGGTATATCCATTCGCCGAAATGGATTTCGCCGAATTTGCCGGTTACCTTATTATTCCTATATATGTAATTCTTTTGAATGATATAATATACTAATATAGTATAATATAATATAATTTACGTATTTGTAATTAAATATTAATAATGTAGTAAATTATAATTATAGAAACTATTATACTAATTAATGTTTATAAAATATTTGTTCAATCATTTGCATGTGGTTCTGAGTAATATTGTAGACTGGGGATTTTTTTTCCATAATTCACCTATACACACACCATTGATATCTATTTAAAACCCGTCAATTGATAAAGGACAAAGTTGGTTCAGGAGTTTGAAAAAAAATAAAGTGTTATTAAAAGAATATTCGAAAAATGATTCTGAAATTGGTAGGTGGCTTAAACACTTTTTTGGTTTACCTTATTTAAACTCTAATGTACTAAATAAAAAGAGGAAATCTTTCTTACGGTTTGGCTTCGAAACTTCTTATCTAAAAGTCATGCAGTTTTTTTTAAATGAAAGAGGATATCACGGAGCAGGTTTTAGGAGTAAATAAAGTCCAATAAGTCAATAATTAGTTATCTATACATATAAAATCCAAATACCACTGACTCACTGATCGCTGTATCTCAAAAACTACTCAACGTAAGGACTTGGAATTTGGAATAGAGGTTCTTCTCACATTTTCTCCGTGCAATAAGAAAGGATTTACCGAAATTCGCATTTTAAATAGCTACTCAAACAGGGACATTGAGGTTCATGAGGGAAATTGGAAATTATAATTTATTTATTTATAGTTGCCATTGATTACAGTTAACAGAAGAAAATCGGATTTTAGTAAGGTTAGGTTAGGATAGGATTTTGTATAAATTGATTATATTAATCTACCGTAAGTGGAATTAAGTAAAAACGACAAATTCGGTATAACTTTGATACTTTAGAGTTAAATTATAAAGTTACGTACAAATAGCACGGGGTCCGCAATCTACCGCAGGTAGATTGCCTACCTGATTATGTACTGCTGCGAATCAGAATTTTAATTCTGGGAAACTGAAAAGTTAAAATAAATTTTGAATACCATACACCGAATATTAAATAACGAATTGAACAAAGGTTGAGTCATATACAGTTGATACATTTAACGGGCAACGAAGTGCACAGGATCAGCTAGATTGTAAATTGAACATTGATTGTATGTATATATAAATAAAAAAAATAAAAAACGTTGGAAAAGGGGTATCGTTCTGCTGTACAGTAGGTTACAAGTGGGTTACTGTTATGGATGGTGTTAAATTTGAATTCAATGATATAATATTATCATTGTATGAGAAAAACGATTCTGAGAGCCAGTCAGTCAGCCTATTATATTACTAAGTATATTTGATGATATTATTGTAAATAAAGTAATTTAAATATAACCTATTTACGTGGAACCTTTTTTTAAATATTCAATCCTTAGATGTAAAAGTTGAACATTTTATACATTGTTGACTTTCAAAATAGTTATTAAATTGTATACAAAATACAAATATTATTCTAATTTATATTCGAAACCATGGATTGGTGATAACAGCTTTAGTAAATATAAGTTATAACAGTTTATAATCGTATTTAAAATATTTCATTGCCAAGTAAACGTCTTAATACGCTTAATATTGTAACATACTTATTAGTTATTACCTTTTTTTTTTCCGAGTTAATCGAGGGACGGAGGAGGAACCACGTTAGCATTACTTCTCCTCCGGCACATTACTTCTAATCCGGCTTATTAGTTATAACCTATCAAGTATCTTTAGGTTTAAAAAAGTGGAAACGATAGTTACTTTACCTATATCGTATTTCTTAAAACAAATGTACCTACTATCTACAACCTGTCAGTCATATGATTTTCGTATATTTCTTAGATTTTTTGGTGTAAGTATAAAATACTTAAAATAAATGTTAATATAAACATTTATCTTCTTAATACAATAATATTTTTAACAGCGTTAAAGTTCCAATTTTGACAAAATTCGAAAAATTCACAACAATTTTTCAAATTATTTTGAGTTAAAAATCCATAAAAAAATTCCTTTTCATATCTAAGATTTGAGAATTTAATAAAAAATTTCTCATCAGTTTGTCTACCTTTGTCGAAAAAAAAATATACCGGAAAGTCGAATTACATTTTTATGAGCGTTTGAAGTTTAAATGTTTACGACATAGCATATTCACTAGATTTCCCATGGAATTATTTTATTATTTTGTTGTAATTCAAAAACGAATAACCATAGGTACTTCAATTTACATATTATTATTTTTATTTTATCATTTCCTATTTTTCTATACTTGATAAAATGTATTTTGACTCGTTATAAACTGTTAACGGACATTTTCAATATTATTTTAGTTTTTTTTTATAAGTATCAATATAATTGTATTCGTTGGGTCAAAAAGCTTGGAAATGTATTACAAGATCCCTCACAAGTAGTTATAAAAGCAGATGAAAAATATTAAAAATACGTCAGTAAGTTGATAATTTACAATTTTTTTTGTAGTTAACCATTTATAAAATAGCTAAGAATTGAAAATTTAAAATAAAGTTCCACATAAGTACTTTTTTTTCATGTTTATATAACATTTTCTTAAGAGTTTTTTGGCCGCAGATTCGTTGTTATATGAACATCTTTAACATAACTATTATAATAATGTAAAGCCCAAATTATTGCAACATTATTCAAATTTTACATGATAATATCAACATATGTTATATTAACATTATAATCTTGATTTCATAATCAAGTTTATTATATTATTTTATATATAAATACTAGTGGCTCTTTCCTCCACCCACTTCGCTCACTAACATATCTGCATAGTTATTTTTTACTCTGTTATTATTTCAATACTATAACTGATTTTCTTTTTATTATTTGACAAAACTATTTTTCAAAACATTTTTGTAAATAGAGATACTTATTATAATTGACACTTGAGTGAACAATATAATGATGTAAAACAACTTAATGAATTTGTAAGCCTGTTATTAGCTGCTAATCAATTTTAAATTACATTACAATCAATAATATATCATTATAAACGATGATTATAATTAAAATTCTCCTTGGTTATAAACATTTTCAAAAATAATACAGGGGTGGTACAAGCAAAACATTATTTATTATATTAATCTTATGTACACATCATCTCATCGTAATGTATAAATGTATATAGAAGGTAGAAGTTATCACTGCAGTATTGTGCAATTGGAATAAAAAGTCTCTGGTTAAAAACTAATTACCTACTGTATACTGTACATTCTTTAGTTTAAAGAAAACCATGACAGTCTACAATTAAAATTTAAAATAATAATAATAATCCCATATGTTAATATGCAAATTAAAATAATACAATGAATGAAATAAATTTTTCCTTTGAATTATTTTTAGTATTTGCTTGAAGTCGGTAAGGAGCATAATGTGATAGCCAAATTCCTAACGGTTCATCTATTTCTTTGTCTGTGTGTGTTTTGTATTTCATGTTTATTCATAATGCATCTGAAAAAAAACATTTTATTTATAATAATTAATAACTTGTAAAAACGAAATTGAGAAACAGTGTAGCTGTTGGTGGGGTGCACAGTCATTCATCCAAAATATTGATAGTGAATAAGTAGGTAATGAAGTTTTTTCTATTTCTTATACATATTATAATCATTAAGAGTTACTTGTTTAGTGAAAAATTAAATTTTAGGTTATTTACTAATACGATATATTTGTTGAAAATTTGTTTGAGTTATTGGTATAAGATAAACTTTTAAATTAATTTAATTTAGTTAAATTCTTTTAAACATTGGTAGTTGGTACATAATTTTAATTGAAAATTCAGTTTTTATCAAATATAAATTCAATACATCCATTACAAAAACGACTAACAAGGTTTTTATATAGAGTTTATAGTTAAATGTATAACTATTTAAGTAGCTAAGTAAGTACACAACTAGATTCAAATCAATCACAATTTCAATAATTAGGTAATAACAATTATATCCATACAAATTACGTAATATACAATTGTGTGTTTCAGTATTTAAAAATAAATATCAATTATTAAGTATGGTATGTGGCCATGTCAGTGTTGGAATGTACTATTTTTAGTTTAAAAATTAAAAAATGTCAATTAAATATTTTATTTTACACTATACCAGTATTCCTTTTTTTTAAACGTTTACTTATTATACGAATCATAAACTATTGGTTCAATATTCAACTCGATATTAAACTTTAAGAATCTTATATTAACGTACCTATATAATTAACCAGGCACAAAACGAAGATAAAGACCAATATAATAATACAATTATAAAATTACTAATAGAAAATATCCAGACCGGAATACCATCTACACTCGAAATCATTTTTTGTTCTAACTATAGGTAGTATCATTGAGTTCAAATTTAACATACCCATTACAGTCATCTACTCAATGAAATCTCTACCTTAGACACATAAAACAGCAGAACTACCGACTTCCCCAGTTTTATACATCAGTCATTATTATAATTTATAATAAACACATGCACATTATT